CGGTCCGCCGACTAGAGCACCTAGAGCATTTTATTGTGTGGACACACACAATCGGCTGTATACAACCGATTTCAATAAAACCGGCTTCTATAAATTCGAACTAATTTCGTAGTGTAGACGTACCCTGAGTAACAAAAATCATGACAGTTTGAGATTACCCAAAACAAAAAATGCCATAAAAGAGTTGTCCATTCCTTTTGAAACATTTACTTGAGATCAAGATTTTTTTTAAGGCAATACCTCGAGTTCCTTTGGGACAAGGGCGTTCAACCATCATTCCTCTTTGCGTCTGAGGCCAGCTAATCCCCCTGGCCTCATCAGGTTCACAGAATCTCTCTGGCAAAGGGAAAAAACTTGTCACAGGAGGAATTTTCGTTGTGGAAACTGCTGGTGGTGGCTTGGGCCCTCTGCTTCCTTCCTTTGTGCCTCCAGCTAATGTTGTGCTTATGGGGCCTTTCTGTGAAGTCGTGCTTATGGTTGACACAGTGGTTTTGTATAGCTCTGCTGAAGAAGTTATTGTCACTGCGGTAGTAGGCACTGTAGGAGAAAATAAGAGTAATAAAAATAATTGTTCTTCAAAATAGTGAAGAAAGGTAAAAAAAGGTTATGTGATTTTACATGATTCTCTTGTGTCTTTTTTCTTTATTTCAGTATCAATCTTTTGCGCTCTCTACAGTCACCGTTAAGCGTATAATTCTGAATGAGTTTCTATTCTTTTTTTAATTCTCTCAGTCTCAAATTAACATGATGGTTCAGTACATTTTGTTTACACCTTCTCTCTGATACAAATTGATAGTTACATTGCTAAAGGCCGAGAGGCACTGGTAATGAATTATCAGTACATGACAAATACACATAAAACAATTAAACATGTTCTAATCACCTTAAAAAAGAGCAGTATGATAGAGTAATTTAAATCAATGTGCTGTAAACAATCAAGCTCAGTGTAACAACAAAAAATTGTGGGCTGTAAATAACTAGGCCATTTAAAATCTAAAAAACATCGTCACCCACTCTACACCTTGCAGGAAAATAATTACTGTAACATCTTCTCACCCGGCATCATTCTTGCTTGATTAGATCCCAACAGAAGAAAAGCCTAGCATGTATGTGTTGTCTTAGTTTTTGATCATCTCAGGTTTTAACATTTTTTTTTTATATATAAAGCGGGTATGAAGAAACAAGTAATTCAAGCCTGTGGCAAATACATGGCTTAATCTTCTGTGTCAAGACAACACTGGGTTAGACCAAATAATTTCTGATTTGAGACCCACAGCCGATTGATTCTGCTGACCCACATACGGAATGTACTAACAAATAATCCTTGTACTGATGGAGTACAGAACAGATCTGTTTGGAGTCCTATTAGGCTACAGAAGTATAATATTGGTATCTATGAATATTATGCTCACCACCATAATTTGTTCATCTGATAGCAATAAGGGCCAGCGGAAGAATGCAGCTGCATCATTTGTTATTTCTGCATCTCCACAGGCATGCATGATGCTTTACAGACAAAGCAAAGACAAGCCCCTGTCCTTTATTTAAAATGAAGCATTTAAAATGAAGGACAGGTATTTACTTCACCTCTTGTCAGACATACTAGAAACAAATGGATTTGACATTTTTCAGTTTTTGGGGTTGTTGGGTTTGGGGTTTTTTTGTTATTTCTCAGAGGCTTATATAATAATAAAATAATATATGGAGATATACCTATCTCCTAGAACTGGAAGGGACCCTGAAAGATCATTGAGTCCAGCCCCCTGCCTTCTCTAGCAGGACCACTTCACTAGCAGGACCAAGTACTGATTTTGCCCCAGATACCTAAGTGGCCCCCTCAAAGATTGAACTCACAACCCTGGGCTTACCCTAATCATACAAAGGGAATTTTCACCTCATGTCCTTGGGCTATGATTTATCAAAAATATACATACTTGAAAATAAATTATACCGCGAGTGTAAACAAGTGTACCCGAGCTGTCTTTCAGATTTTTTTGAATTTTTCAAAAAATGTTTTAAGAGTCTCAAATGTTATTTACACATATCACGTTACACATCTTTTTTTATTAAAATCCTTTTTCACATTACTCACTTATAACAATTCTTCATGGATAAATGTTTTATAGACAACATCAACTGACCTTGCTAAAATATAAATTTACATGGCAATTTTTGATTTGTTTTCAGTTTCAAGTTCTTAAAGAGCAAACTCAATTTCTTGTAAAAACAATATATGCAAAGATATTCTTTCTGACATTACTCTCCATCTCAATCAGAAACTTCTTAAGTTTGCATCTTATTTCCAGTCTAATTTATTTACTGTTTGAGTACTGCCTGTGTAATCCTGCTGAACTTCTTGCCTACCCAGCTGCAGCAAAAACCTATTCAAACCTGTCTTTTTTTTGTAAGTATTTGCATGACATCTTGTGAAACCTCTGTAATTTTCTTTTGATTACAATGCAGCCAGGCTTTCAGTGCTTTCTCAATTAACATTTGTCAAAAGCATCACAATCACTTGAAGAAGTGTCAAGTAACTGCTGCTGAATCAGGTGCTGAGGGGTGGGGAGGGGAGAATGGAGCAGGGGAGAACGGATTATAACTATTATCCTATATATCCCATGACACACAGTGCTAATTAGTACATATTTAATCAATGAAATCTGTATTAACAATATTGCAATTAGTACTGTTATTAGACCTTTACTTTTGGTTTTGGGACAAGAATAGTCTAAATATTATAGGAACTAGCTAAATATCAGTAAAAGGACTCATGACAAATATTTGAAATTCAATAGTGAGGTGACTATTTTAAGAACACACAATTTCATACTGCATCTCTGAGTACAGCTGATTTGCTATAGACTATTCTCAATGCTACCCATTAAAATAAATGATACAGCACATCTACTTTGGTTTTAAGGGGATGATCTGCAAATACAGGTAATAAGAAAGACATTTTAAAAATTATTTATAATCCCTAATTAGTAACAACATAAAATCACAAAAATAAAATGTATTTTAAAAAACTATCTACAAAATACTTTTCTCAAGACCTGAGTGGAATTGCATATCTGAAAGAGCACACTACAATAATTCAAATGGAGTTGGAAGTGCAGGAAAGGAGAAGCACCTTCAGTGGAAAATGTTAAAAAAAACGACAATTCACGAAATCACTTTTGAAAAACATCTAGCATTTAAAAGGCAGGTCATTTTGTATTTAAGGAACTATGGGAGGATTTAATCTACAATGTAATCTAAGATTTCTATTTAGATGCAAAACTGGAGTTTATTCTTTTTTTCATTGCAACTTAATTCGAATAATGACTATTAGGTAATATCTGTACAGCACTAGGAAGGAGAGAACATGCAAGCCTGATATGCCATCAACCAGAACTTTTACAATGAGGAGGTGACAGCTGTCGAGTAACTGCTTACACCCCAGGACTGCATCTCCGCGTCAGGTAGAAAATCACCCTCTTGTGCCCAGAAGCGGGGATGGGACTGTAGGGGGTTAAGAAATGTTTAATTTGCCTCCCACATCAAAACTAAAGCAGTTACGAAATCTCATTTTGTTTGGTCTTAAACTTTTAGACTGGGCTTTTAGACTAGGCTACAATACTTGTGGCAATGGGAGGAGGAAAACTTCCCTTAAAAAAATTTTTTTTTTTGTGAGAATGTGTTCAACTGAAACTGGACTGCACAAACAAGTAAAAATACAAACAAAAAGAGGTAAATGTAATTATTGTGTAGATGATAAATTAGCTTACATTTATATCCTATACATATACGTGCTTTTTCCTAAACCAAATTTAAATTAATACTCAAACTATCCAAATAGGGTTGCCAACTTTCTAATTGCACAAACCTGAACACCCTTGCCCTGCCCCTTCCCCTGAGGCCATGCCCCTTCTCTGAGGCTCTGCCCCTGCTAACTCCATCTCACCTCCCTCCGTCACTCACTCTCCCCCACCCTCACTCACTTTCACTGGGCTGGGGCAGGGGTTGGGGTGCAGGGGACTGAGGGCCTGGGATGGGGGTGTGGGCTCTGGGGTGGGGCCAGAAATGAGGAATTCATAGTGTGGGAGGGGGCTCCAGGCTAGGGCAGGGAGTTGGGGTGCGGGAGGGGATGAGGGCTCTGGGGTGAGAGGTTTGGGGTGCAGGAGCGGGCTCTGGGTGAGAGCCGAGGTGTTCGGAGTGCAGGAGGGGACTCCGGTTAGGGGCCAAGGGGTTCAGAGTGCAGGTCGGAGGCCGAGGATGCTCAAGGCTGGGGTATAGGAGGCGGTTGGGGGTGCGGGCTCTGGGAGGGAGTTGGCTCAGGGATGCGGGCTCCGGCTGGGCAGCGCTTACCTCGGTCGGCTCCTGGAAGCGACCAGCATGTCCCTCCGGCTCCTAGGCTCAGGGCCACGGTTCCCAGCCAATAGGAGCTGCGGAGTTGGTGCTTGGGGCGGGGGCAGCGCATGGAGACACACACCCCCTCTCCACCCCGGCCGACCTTGTGCCTAGGAGCTGAACATCCTGGCCGCTTTTGGGGGCCGTGTGGAGCCAGGGCAGGTAGGGAACCTTCTTTAGCCTCACTGCGCCACCAACCAGATTTTTAGCGGCCTATTAAAATCTCCTGGATTGCTTTCAATAGTCACCGGGAGATCGAGGCTGATTCCGGTAGACTCCCGGCCAATCCGGGAGGGTTGGGACCCCTCTACCCAAATGGATTACTCCTTCCCCCAATGAAAATGTAGGAATCACTGGGGTGAAATACAGCAACTGTTTAACAGTGTGCTATGTAACAGAATAGCTTAACAATTTAAGACAGGGAGTAAATGATAATTTCCCCCCCAGTGGAAAGTGTAATTTAGATAGTAAAGGCCAGATTACTAAAGGTATTTTGGCACCTAAATATGCTCGTAACTTCTTTTCAAAATCCCACTAGGCATCTAAGTGCCTAACTCTCACTGAAATGCCTGACTCCCATTGACTTCAATGGAAGTTGGGGCCTAGGCACTTTTAAAAATTCTACAAGGTTCCTATCTGCATCTTTAGGTGCCTAAATACCTTTAAAAATCTGGCTTTAAATCCCAATGACTTTCAATGAGATGTAGCCGCTTACATGCCTAAATCAATTCTGAAAACAAGACTCAGGGCTTGTTACAACTTAAAACGCTGCCCCACTGCAGCTGCACCGCAGTAACGCTTCAGTGAAGCTACTACCTATGCCGACAGGAGGGCTTCCCCCATTGGCATAGGTATCGTACCTCCCCGAGAGGCGGTAGCAAGGTCTACAGGCAAATTCTCCTGTTGACATAGCGCTGAATACACCATGGGCTATGCTGGTTTAACTGCATCGCTCAGAGGTCTGGATTTTTCATACTCTTGAGCAACATAGTTATACTGATTTTATTTCCGGGCTTAGACCAGGCCTGAGGCTTCTAAGTCACTTAAGCACTTTTGAAAATTTTACCCTAACAAAGTAACAACAGACACATTGGCATTTGGCTAGGTCACTGCAGTTAACACTTCCTATGCTCACAAACAGTGCCGTG